AGGGGGGAGGAGCGGGGGGCTGCGCTTGGCTTGGCGATTAGAAGCGGGAAAGTGGGCCGCCGTGTCACACCACCACGCCACGCCACGCAGCGACACACGGACAAGGGCACTGCGACTCGCGACTGGCGCTGCTGTGGCACGGTGGTGGTGGTGGTGCAGACCTGGTGCAGGCAGGACCCGCACTCTCTAGGCCCATTTGAGGGGGGGGGGCGCCGCCACCTTCCTGTACACGCTTTAGGCGGCTCCGTCCTGAATGACTTGGGTCACGTGCGCGTCGTGGTCGCGCGTCCGGGCCGCGTGCGTCGTGTCCGGACGTATGGGACTTCCGCGTGCTTTGCCATTACCTTTCTGACTGCCTACTTTTAAAAAGACTGACGTCTATAAAGGCAATAAATATGTGAGCGATTTTTACTGTAAACATCTGGGAGTGTTCTCCGTGGTATGGTGTGGTATCGTGGGACGGACTCGTGCGATGCGCGAGTGGCGACTTGACCATAACCCGTCTCCCCTCTCGCCCGCCCCTCTTCTCTTCCTGGCAGTCTGAGAGAATTGCTCTTGATTCCTCGTTAAGCCCCCTACTCCTCTCTCTTCCCCTCGCGCGGATCCACACATGTGAGCAGGACACGGGAGACGACCTCGTCTCTCTCAACTCCTTCATACGCCTGCTGAAGCGAGAGGCGTGTCGTCTATCAGAGCAGTGCAAAATCGCCATGTATCTGACCGACCGAGCTGACCGGCGCGCGGCCCTCGCTGGCCCTACGACGCTGACCGCGGATCGGTCAGCGGTGACCGCTCTCGAGCTGCTTGCAGGTGAGAGGAGGTGAGGAGGGGCAATTCCACCCTGTCCCTTCTCGGTCGGACCGATACGGCGATTTTGCACAGCTCTGTCGTCTATGTATACTGTTTGACAAACTGCAACAGTGTAAATGGTACGTTCGGCCGAAAGTAGGGGTAGTAGGGATCAGTTGTGTCCAGGCCGAGTTTCCGGCGCAGCCGGGTACCTAGGGTACCTCTCAGCCCCCGCCCCCTCCAAGCCCCCCCCCCAAAAAAAAACTCCTCCTTCCACCACTTCAGCTTTCAGCATGCTGCGGCTCCAGCATGCAGCCTGAGCGCGCGGTTTTGCCGCGTTGACGGGGTGGGGGCCGTTCTCTTGACGGTCGGTGTCTTGTGCTGAAGACGACCCGCCCACGCCCCGCCACAGCTCCTGCCACAATCAGCCAACAGTCCTCCTCTTCCTCCTCCTCCCCCTCGCGTTGGCCCGTGCCACGCTATAGCCGTCCGTCCCCGTCCCCGCCCGCCCGCGCGCCGTGCTGCTCAGGGGGGGACGCGGCCGCGGCGCTCGCGGCCACGGCGGGCCTTATTCGCTCCAACGCCCTCTTGCTTTTGTCTCTGAAGCTTTGAATTGCCTCTGCAGCGGCAGCATAGCGGCAGCTCTTGTTGCATTGTGCATAGCAAAAGGAAATAAATAAATGTCATGTTAATGATATGAAAACAAGAATAATTATTATTGTACTGCAACAATTATAATTAGCATGTGAGTGCGCGCACTAAGGCGCCGTGTGGGGCCGTGTGGCTCTCTAGCCCCTGTGTGTGTGTTCGCGCGCGCGCGCGCGTGTGTGTGTGTGAGTATTGGGCACGGTTATTATGGGCACATTCCCATGCAGACCTGGGTCGAGCGCTGCGGCTGTGGGGCCGAAGGAAGGGAAGGGTCTTTGCGTCACGAATATGAGTGTTTTGGTCGTGTGTGCTTGCGTGTGTGTGTGTGTGTGTGCGCGCGCACGCTCGTGCCGCTGGCGCCGCTCTGTTGTTGCGGTGAGGTGTCTGCATGGGCTGTGTGGGTCAGCGTCCATAGACATTGAGTCATCACATCAGTTAGGCCCTACCTCCGCGGGTACGCACGCCTCCCTCCCCCTCCCCTGGCCAAGAGAGAGAGAGAGAGAAAGGGGGCTCTTGAAATGCCGCCGCCAAACACACACACCAACACAGTCGGCTCACATTTTTTACCCTTCGCGTTTTTGCTAACCCCTTGAAACCTTTTTGCTCGCGTTATCATTGAGGCGCGAGCTGGTCTGGGACTGTAGAGGCGCGCGGTCTCTAGCTGAGGACCCGAGGAGGCAACTCCATCCATGGCGCCGCGGGGGACGCGCGCTAGCCTATGCACCAGGTGGCTGATTGTCCCCGCCCACTTTCATGGGTACAGTACAGTGACGCATAGGCGCGGATTCAATGGGATAGGCAAAAAGCAGCAGCCTGCAAAGGAAACAGAAACCCCTATTTTCGGCCTGTAAGAGGCAACAAGCTTGGTGCCCGCCTGCGGGTGCTGCGTACGGGTGAGGATTTGAACGAGATGCAGACCATCGTCTCTCTAACCCCGGGCTGGTTACAACTCACTTATACGATGGTGCCGGTCGGGCGCGGGAGTTCCGGAAGGGACCCGTGATAAGCCTCGATGATCGCCGTATGCGTTCGTCAGCATACTGTACCGCAACGCAGGCGTGCATCAGATTGCCTACTCGCCGGGCGGTGATCGGAGACGGGGCCCGGGCGCGCCGCCGCTGCCGCTGCCGCTGGCCAGCTTCGCTGAACATGCACTGACCAAATGCAGGTGCAAGTGGTGCAATGTTACCGAAACGAGGGAATTCATGTGGTCCCCACCTCACCCCTCCCTCCTGAACGGGCTTGAGCAGAGGGTATTCGCGCACTTTATCGCCTTATCAGCAGTCTGCCACCTTCTCTATCTCGCGGCAACGTAACCCGGAAACCTCCTTTTCGTGTATAACTTGTTGTTCCCTCTCTCACTGCGGATGTTCGATTGGAGCTTCTTTGCGAAAGATAAACAATTTCTATTCGAGCTTGAGTCACTGCACCCCCTGCACCCTTATATCGTATAACCAAGGCCCGCATTAAACAAGGCGTCTAAGGAATTAGAAAAATATTTAACAGCGGAGAAAATTTTGGACAACGTAGTTTATATGCTAAAAGAAATTTTTAATTAGTTTTGACTGGATAAAACTCTGCAATAATGTGAACGTAAACGTTCATTTGGTCGCCATCGCCATCCCTGTTTGCCTCGGCTCCGAAAAAACGCGTCTGTCGCGTTTTGTCCCCGCGATATTCCGGGCACGTTTTGGTGGGGCGGCCACGTCACCCCCTCGGCGCACTGCCCCCGGCGGCGGCGGCGCGGCGAGTCACGGCGCTCGGCCATGCCCATTCGCGGGGGGCTGCTTATGCCAGCATTATCGTATGGTGATTAGTAATGCGAACTGTGTGTCGTGTGTCTTGTCAGTAGGTACGTATTTTGATTCTCCAGACCAGTCATCCTCCAGAAATGTTACCAATGGATTCTCTTTTAATTTCTTAATTTTTGTTCCTGAAAAGTTTCATATTTTTGTACAATTTTTTTTCCAAGGAAATAAGTTTCCAGTTTTTCCGGATAATTTGTTGGACTTCCTATTTGCCGAACATGGCTGCACCGGAAACACAAAGTATAGGCAGAGGGGACAATACCTCCGAATTTAAGTGCACACATGATTCCCGTTGATTCCCATTGATTCCCATTGATTCCCGCCGTGATTCCCGGGCTGGTGTACACATGATTCCCAGAGTTATTATTGCACCCTCGGTATAGGCCTAAGTGAATGTCGCACACTTGAGGGTGCGTGAGCGACAAAGGAGCATGTACAAAAGTGTATGAATTTCAAAGGAAAATTTACAGTTTTACTCCCTTAAGTGTAGCACGAATGGACATTTCTCACACACACACACCTACAAATGTGCGACATAACATTCTCACACTTGCGTTTCCACCAGTGCCCCCATGGGGCGCGGGCACATGTTCACAGGCGGGTCGCGGGCGGGGCGCGGGCAGTCGCCGCGCGTGTATCGCTGCTTGCATCCTCTCGTGCCGGGCGTGTCCCTCCAGCAGCATCCTCCTCCGAGTCTCTTTGAGTTATGCTTTATCTCGGTCGTGAGATTGTCGGAATAACTCTGGATTGTCATGCGCGTCGGGCCGGCTGGGCCGGCTATGCATGGGCCGAGAGCCGCGCGAGCGAGGAAGCACACTATTGGGCCCGGCAAGTCAGGAAGGGGGGCGGCGCGGCGGGGCGCGGAGGGGGAGGGAAGTCCGGCGGGGCGCCCACGGCGGCCCGGTCGGCTGTCTCCGTCGCACCCGCGGGGGACATCCAGCGGAGCGGCAGGGGCGGCCGCAGGGGCCGAGGGGGGGCCGGGGGCAGGCCGGGCCGATGCCGATGGGTGTGGCGCGCGGGCAGCATTTAGCGAGGTCGGCGCGGCCCGTCGGTCCGCCCGTCCGTGCGTCCGTCCGTCCGTCCGTCCGTACGTCCGTCCCGCACGGGAGCGGCAGGGAGGGACGCGGACGCGCTGACGGGACACTCTCTGCGACGCCGCGGTGGCCGGGCCCAACGAGATAACGTCAAAGTAACAGCATTCGGGGGCCTTCAGGCGCACACAATGGCATCCCGAGGATGTGGTCCATGACGCCGTGCTCACAAACAGACACGGCGCTCGCTCACGCCGCCCCCTTGCTTGCCAAAATATCTTGGTTTGGTTGTCTTCGACGTCCGGCCAGCCTCGTCCAGCGCGCAGCGACGGCAGCGACCAGCTCGACCGACACCTCGTCCTCGCCGTTGTACATTCCGCCCCGCCCGGTTCGCGGCCCGCCGCACCCACGCCCTGCCCCGCCCCACTGTCGGTTGCAGTTGCACGGCCATTGGCGTGACCACCGCGCCGCCAAGCAGCACAGCACACCGCCGCCGCACGCTGGCCCACTTCTCAGCCAGACGAAAGCCCTTCTACTTTGCCGCCCTGCTGCTGCTCCAGCCCTGCCTGTCTCTCTCGCTCCCACATTCAATTCACGGCCAGAGCTCCCGCAAGTGAGAGGGAGAGAAAGAGATCGCGCAGTCAGTTGCTTTTCGGCCGCAGGCCTCAGCTGTCGTGTCGGGCTGAGCCTCGCGCGCGCGCACCGCGCGACTCCAGGCGAAGAAAATGAGTGGGAATAATGTGGAGTGCACAGAGAGGGGCCCTCGGGAAAGGGGGAGGTGGGGGCGTGCTCAATGCTGCTACTGCTGCTGCTGCTTTGGGCTGCGCAGAAGTTTTCTCGCAGTATACCCAGCTGAAGCGACAGCTCATCGCTCCAACATTTTATTTTTAAAATGCCGCCTCGATGGCATCATCCTCCCCTCTGAGAGCCGCTGCATTCGGCTGCCTTTAGGCCTGGGCCACCGGAAGCGGCGGTTTGGTTTGTGTACTTTGACCTTCCCATTATACTTTGCTAGCGCGGTGGAGGCGCATGTGCTCTGCAGGCGCGCCGCTGCGGTCCGGGCCTGCGGCTGCAAGGCACTGCAAGGTGCGACCCGGGCGGGTTGGGGCCTCTTGCCTGGGCAACCCTCGGCCTGCGCCGCCATCTGGGGGCCCCGAGGGGGTAGCCCTGGGTGGCCGCCGCGGCCGGGCAGATGTCCTCGCGGGGAGATCAAAAGTTAGCATCCGGCCGCTGCTGTTGCTTGCTGCTGCTGCTGCGCCCGTTATAATGTCGGGAATCTTTATGACTCGGGCGGGCCCTGGTCCTGCTGGTCGTGCCCGCGGCTTATTACCCCACCTGGCCCGCCTGGGCCGCGGCCAGCAGCTGCAGCAGCTGCAGCTGAAGGGGGAAGAGGAGGCTTGGGTGCTGATTTTTC